TTTTTTTTAATAATTCACTAATACAATGTTTTATTTTATTTTTAACTGATGTACGCCCACTTTTCATGTGTGTAAAAAAGTTTAACAGGAAAATTATTAAAAATCAAATAGATAAAATTAAAAAAAACATTGTTCGTTTTTTGTGAAGCGGGAGGGGGTGAGAGAAATTACTGATATAAAAAGTTGTAACATATAAGGACATGGATTCTGGGCCGAGATAAAAGATGAAGGACATAATACGTAATTCCTGGAAGCCTCTAGTATTATAGTCTCTAGTAGCGCCCCTGTTATCGTATCGATATCGAATTGGGTTCTGATAGCTTATCGCCATCTCAAATTATTTTTTTTTTTTTTTTTGACAGCTAATTTGATACAAGGGCCTTAATTAATAATATCCTTCACGTGCAGTCATTAAACTGTTTCGAAAACAGAACAAAAGTTTTAGAAAATAAATTATTTAGCGTTATGATATCTTGTGGCTAAAGCACTCTCCCTCAAACTCCACTGGTTTTAGAAGCATTGACGAGGTTGAGAGAGTACCGCAGGGATCTCTTGAAGTCCCGTTTTTCCTTCTATAGTTGGAGGGAGAAGCCTGCCTTGGGGTTCCCTGCCTGATTGTATATATTGTATAATAGGTACGACTGTGTTTTTATGTTTTTCATTAATTTATCTTTGGTTGTTTCATTTCTTATTGTACATAGTTTTTCATTATTGTTTTACTTTTATTAATTTTATATTTTATGTATATATGGTATGAATTCGTTATATCATTTTATATATTTATATTCAGTTATATTTCTAAATAAATAAACAAAAAGAAAATATATATATTTATTTTTAAAAAAATGGAGGAAAACTCAAATGTTTCAATGAAATAACACCATTCAATGCTCGATCAAGTTCAGGTCAAAAAAATTAGTAACATTTAGTAAAAAATATAAACTAGGAATATCTAAAATAAATTTATAAGTAGAAAAAAGTTGAATTATTTCTTGACATAAAATGTATATGTATTAACAAGAGTGATAACAAATTAAATATTTTGTCTTATAATATATGCATTTAATAATGTATTATAACAATAAATATATTTTTATAGAAAAATAAAAATTTTTATTCAATTAAAACTATATTTTATTTCCTTGTTTCAACTTAAAAGTTTACTGACATTAAGCTTATAGAAATCTATGTGAGCACTGACAAAAAAAAAAAATTGGTCACGATCTATAAATTATTATCCAAATTTCGGATTTTAGTTTAAAATGAAAATACACCAGATATTTATACATTGAATAACAAAATTCACACACAACACAAGTAAACAAAACAATATCAGTATAATTTCTTAAATTCTTTAGCTTGAGAAGCAATAACAACAATTCTGTTCTCATTACCATAAAATCCATAAATAAAAATAAATTTGGAACGAATCAAAATGATAACGAAAGACAGTTTTTTTCGATTCCATGTGATCTCAAGTCGAATTCTCAATTGCATCAGTCTTAATATTGATTGATCATCTTCACTAAGAATGTTGCAATAATACATTAATCCCACAGTCTTTTAATGACTCGATAAGACTCAGGATGTTTTCGCTGCACTGAATACAGCACATTCAGCTCCTCTAATAATACATGCAAGATGATCTGAAATTCAATGTGTTGTTTTTCTTAAATACTGATGATTGGAAATTCAATATTTTGAAATTTTTAAAACAAGATAATAATAAATAATAAAATTAATTAATTTGTAAAAATTTGCTTTATAATTAATTAGATATTCCCGCTCATATATTTATAAATATTCTAAATTAATTAGTTGGTTATATACATCAACAAAAAGAGAAATTCCTTTTTAATACATTATTCATTAATATCTTCGTTTTAATGGAGTTTTTTTTTTTATAGAAAAATTTAATAACAAACCTATAAATCTAATGTTTTAATTGATTATATCGATGTTTCGATACATACTTAAATATAAATATATATTATATTATATTATATATAAGGCCGCAAGAATAAATTTACGTTTCCGGATATGATGGAAGGAATTCCATAAAACTGATATGGATCCATCTATGGATGCGTACAATACCTATAAACTTCATCGAAAATCGAATTACTGTTAGATGTTATGTCCATCATGAATCATACATTTATTTGTCAACAGACAGGCTTAACACTAAATACATTCCTTGAAATCGAATGGAAATGTCATATCTTGAAAATAATTTTTGTTTCTATTTCCTACATGAATAAAATAAAATGAAACATAAATAAATCCAAAAAAAAAAAATTAAATCAATAAAAAAAACATAGTCCGACATTATTTTCGTTCAGCACTTGACAGCCTAGCAGAGGAAGGTCAAAAACTAACATATGCCTAAAAACAATAAATATAATAAATTAAGCTCAAAATTAACTGATTAAATATATTTTATTATATATACCATAAAATATATTTATATATATTGTATATTATTATTAAGACAAGATAGACGGAATATCTTAATTACTTGAAAGAAACTAAGTTTCAAAATAACTGTCAAAAAGGATGTCTACTAATGGGAGTGCTAAGTAAAATTCTTTCAAATGAGTAGCTTATTTAAAAGTGAAACCTAATCGATGGAAATTACGATAAGTACCGATTTACTTTTAATAACACACATTGAATCAAATGGTGCAATTATTATTTAATTTATTTTTTTCCAAAAAGAACCTATATATTGAAATACGTGGTGTGAAAATAAATTTATTTTCGAAACCAACTTTTTATTCAAGAAATGAAATGCAACTTGCATTTCTTAAGTGTGTTTGAAAAAAAAAAAAATTCAACAAAAGCATTTTAGACTGTTTAACTCTAATGAAAATTAAAAATAAATTTATTTTATAGTACCATCATTGTAATTTATGTAACTTCTCCCTCTCCTCCCCCCCCGGAATCATATATCATTTTTTGTTGCCTAGAAAAATCCCAAAAAATAATATTTTTGTTAAAAATAAATCTTGAATGTGTTTCTAAAAGTGATCGTATTCGAGTTTCAGAGTGTTTTAATTACTATTGAAATGATCAGAAATTTTCCGCAACATATAAAACAAATTAGGAATATCTTAATTTAGGAAGAGAAGAATGGTTGGGGTGATCAGTAAGAAATAAGAAGGCAAAAATAAGTGATAATATTTATTTTGACATTTGCCGACGTTTCGACAATGAAGTTCAGGCCTTCATCAGGACTAAGAAAAGAACCAGATAACAAGGTATGAGAAACATGAATAATGTAGGTAAAAAATAAAAATTAAAGTAAAATGAATTTTTTTTTACCTACATTATTCATGTTTCTCATACCTTGTTATCTGGTTATTTTCTTAGCCCTGATGAAGGCCTGAACTTCAGGTCGAAACGTCTACAAATGTCAAAATAATGTTATTATTTATTTTTGCCTTCTTATTTGTCACTGATCACCCCAACCATTCTTCTCTTCATTATTCACAACAGTCAACCATTTACCCACAATTATCTTAATTTATTTTTTAAAGGTACAGGTTTTGATACTACTATCGAATTTTACTTTTATGTTTTTCGCGTTTCCGGATAAATTGCTTAGGATTTAGTTTATTTTTTTTATATGATGTGACAAAAATACGCTTCCACAAAATATGATACAATTCTTCAAAACGGAAAAGAGAATCATTGAAAGCACTCAAAACTTACTTATTAGAAAGTTGGTTACGGAATGATCTTATGCTCAGTTGAGAACAATATACAAATAAGGAGAAAGTAGGCGGCCAACGAAAGTTCTCACAGAAGCGAGCTCTCTCGATGTTGAGCTGAGATAACTCGATACATCGATAGTAATTCTTATATCGACTCCAATCGGTCTTTGGGATGAACTCAAAAATCGATAAGCCAAGTGTGGTTGAATGCCACAGGTAATTATCTCAAATATTTTAGCAAATGGATTAAACAACGATTAATAGTTGTTTAAAATTAAATATTATTTCAAAAATTTAATTTTAAAATCGGATGGTAACTAATATAAGATATCCACGATTGCCCACTGGCATCTTCTTCTCTCCCCCCGAACATTTGGTTGTTTGAGCCAATATTTATTAAAACAATACGTGTATTTAATCCTCCCATAGGAATATATGGATGTACAAAGCATACTGTTTATAGTATTAATAACTAGTGTTAACCAATACTTGTGTAAATAAACTATAGAAAAACATGCAAAAAGAAGAAAAAAAAGAATATACCATGGTAAAAAGACAATTTCTTTTTATTTTATTTATTTAATGAAATTTACAACCGTATAAACAATACAAATAGTAAAAATACAGACATTGGAAATAATGCAATGAACAGACTTGAAGAGATACTGCCTAGCACTCCCTATTTAAGTCTAGGTGAGAAGATCACGTGGCCATCTTCTTTCCAGACACCTAGGGAGATTATCACGAATCGAGGAAAAAGCAAGGCTGGAAACAAGTGGATTCGGATGGTATTGGAGTTTATCATGAAAGGATTAGGTATCTGGCTCTGGCTAAATCAGCAACATATGGAACATTAAGGTCATTATGAATGGTTTTATTTGTGACAAAAATGGGGCATTAAGGATTTTACGAAGGATTTTGGATTGTAAGGATTGGATACGATATGAATTCGATGGTTTGGTAGAACCCCAAAGCTAAACTCCGTATGTTCATATAGGTCTTGTCTTATTTTGGTTAAGTAGATGAGTCTTTTGCAATTAATTGAAAGTTTAGAGCGTTCGTCTAGTAAGTGTTGGAGCAGTCGAAAACGTCGAGCAGTTTCAGTCTCGTATGAAAGATAATTTCTAACAAAACAAATGCAGCTCACCGACCGGAAATCGGAATTAGAGTTTTAAATCCTTTAAATAACAAGTGTATAAATGTATAGATATAAAAAAAAGAAGACAAAGAATTAGGAGGTTTAAGCAAGATATAAAACTATTAGCGTTGAAATACCACTGCAGTCGCAAATGTTTCCTCATGACGAAGTTATCACTATTAAATACAAACACGGTTATCTCAGGCCAATATTGAAGGTGAGTAATTATTAAATATATTTTTCATAATCGTACGAATCAAATTGTCGAAGCAATATTGGGACACGTAATCCCAAGAGATTCCACCTACAGTCAGTAATATCGTATATCAGTCGATCGGTTTACAGAGACGTCAACGGGAGATAACGGAAGATTTACGGCGTAGCCTAGCCCTAATCCTAATACAAACAGACGGACGGACCAAACAGTAGCGATACGACAAGGCGGTGAGCGAACAAAGGGTTCCGGTGTGCCCGATGTTTGCTCACCGGGTTATCGCAAGAGCGGGCCACGCAGGTCTAAGCAGGCCGCCTCGGGCAGATACCTTATCCAAGTCCAAACAGTGCCTCCACAAGGCAAACCCTTCTCCGTTTCACTACAAGAAAAATTCAAAACGTAATATTATATTATTAAGTTCACGTAATAATATATTTAAATACTGCGAGGTGAGTGGATATTCACTTTGGCGGATCCACGGGAAAGGGAGGGGGAGGAGGGGAGAGGGAGCTTTCGGGCTTAAGCCCTCGCAAGGCAGAAAAAAAATTGTTTTTTCCATTGTTTGATTTTTGTTTCTGTGAGTAATATCAGCTCATAACTAAAACAATCACAACATGTACTCTTTTTAAATTATATCATATATACAACAGAAAGATAAATAAAACATTTATTCCTACAAGCATTACAGAATTATAAATTCTGTAATCAATGTTCCTTACAATAATAAGCTTTCGGAGCTTTCCGACATATTCAATTAAACAAATACAGAGTACTAAACGTCTCAAATAATTATATTGAGATAAAGAAAATATGAAGTATTTCGTTTGATATTTCAGCATGCTTTAATTACATTTTCCGATTTAATTCCTCTTTTTAAAAAAATGCTTCGCTAAAGAGTTACTTATTAAACATTATTTACAACCACAGATGGATTTAATGTGGGCTTTCGAGCTGAAAATCTCCTTGATCCCTCCCCCATGTTAAAATATAGCCATGTTATATTACATTATAGAATTACTTCAAAAATAACTTACGCACCATTTCATAAAGGTAGTTGGTTTCTTTCTTCTTTTTCCAAAGTAACAATCGTTAGATATATTAAAAAAAAAAAAAAAAAAGCTTTCGGGCTGAAGACCCCTCACTAAAATTATGTTGTAGATCCGATATTATTTACAATCCCGGCAGCTTAGAATTAGAGCACAATGACCATATTGAATAACTCGAACTCAGACTAAACAGAATTCGGAAATGCATTTATTGGGTTTGTGGCGCCAATTAATGGCGCCTATGAACAAAGAGTAGTCTCCAAATTGATAAAAAAACACGTCTACCATCGAATGAACTATTTCTATAACTAGCTATTCTTTCGGTTACAGACACCATACCGACAGAGAATAAACGAAATAATATTTAAAATGTATTAGAAATTGTAAATTTAATTTAGTATAATGAATGTCAAAGTTTTGTGATATAAAAAATATTTAGTTTATAATAATGATTGGCTTCCTTATTTAAGGGGTATTAAGCTAGATTTTTTCGCAATAATTTCCTCCATGTAATGATCATTGATGCCACCCCGATCATATCATGATGTTCTCCATTTCATCCTGTTCCGCAGAAGAACCCGAAGAACCCACATCCTCTTCCACCGCCTGCTTGCGGGTGATAGACATCCAGTTCTGGGTAGTGGAATCTGATACGTGGCGCCCGGCTGTCTGCTATCGGGCTACCAAGAACCGTGGGTGTCTGCTTGCATGAATGTGACTTATCCGACATCGGCTACTTATCACTCTAATGATAAGTATATATCTTTTTGTTTATTCTCGGTGAAATATAATATATAATTGCCATTATAATTTTGATGCGTTGTACTGCCTAGAATCTAATTACAGTTTATGAAATTACATTTGTCTATTAAATGAATTGTATTTCAATCATTATTTATTATTTTTTAAATTTATATACGATTGTAAACTGAGCTCGAAATCTATACAACATATGATACAGTAATATATTAAAAAATATTGATCTCTCTGGAGCAATGGATCTTTATGAATTAGGTATCAAACAAAAGGGAATTTCATTGAACATTGACAAATTCCAATTAAAAAATGTAAAACCTAATACAACTACAGTAAAGGTCATTAAAATAATTAAGAGGTCTTAAAACTCGGATGGTTTAAAAATCTGACGGATCCAGAAAAGATAAATAGTGATTTAACGATTATTAAGCAGATATCAAGAGAGAGTAAGATATGAAAACTAGTCCTTTGGAACTATACTGTGCTCTTCATTCTATAGCCCTAAAATTTACTGTTTTTGAGTAATTTAGAGAGCTATAAACCAAGGCCCTAATCCACCAAACAAATAGGTCTTGGGAATGTACAATAATTGATTAGTTCAGGGTTAACTGTTTCGTATTGTTTACCTATTAAAGTGGAGGAATAGTAAAGGAAACTATTTCGATCTTGAAAATTTTCGAATCTCAGTTTGCAATGCTCTTGCAATGATTTACTCGAAAACGACTAATCTAACGATTTTGATTAAATTCATTATATCTGTGTAAAATTAAGCAGGCTTTAATATAATGTAGGTTTTATTCTCATTGATGTCCACTAACAGGACTTAAATGGCTGTCAATATTTCTTCCTCTAAAATACCTTTACTTTTTTTTAATTGAAATTATTAACCATTTCACGTTGTACTCTGATATAAAAAAAAAAATTAAATATAAAATATAAAAGAATTTGATTGTTAACTCAAAGAGAAATAATACATTACATTGGATAATGGTTGTATTAGGGTGACCAAAAGAATACGAGCCCATCAGAGCTTACCCGAAAGATTAGAACAGGTTTTTATACGTAACATGAACTTAATATAATATGGACTCCGACAATATTATATACTTACACACACACACATATATGTATATGCAGTTTTCATAAATGCTGTTGTTGGAATTATTCAATATTTAATTGTAAAAAGAAATGGCAAGTGTCAAACAAAATAAATATAAGACATTAGACGCATATGAAAAACATATGGTAATTAACTGTTTTAAATAATGTTTCTACCGTCTATAATTTTTACTTTCACTTCCCTTTATCTGGAAATACTTATTTTTACTAAGAAGAGAGTGGTTATTGAAAGATGTATGATACATGCACCTCATCAGATTTTTTATATCGTTAATTTTAATCAGCATTATTCGTACTTCATTAGATGTTTCGGAAATCGAACATCAATGATTACAAGTTCGATATGTGATTCAAACTTCATGAGCAGGGCGAATTATGAGGAATCTAAATGGAAAACCACAGTTCTGAGACGACCACCCTGGTTACGTAGCATTACCATATAATTGGGGTAATGGACTATATATCGTTCGGTTCAATGTCTCTATTAGCTTGAGAGAGTGAACCAATGAATTTATTTCGAGAACAGTTGTAATTAACTATGAGCAATTATTTCCATAACATCTTACTCTCTAGTCTCGCGTTGTTGGCGAAAGCACTTCACTCCGTCTTGTATCACGACCTGATTCAATGAGAAGTTTTAAAAATATTGGATACGTAAATGAAGTTAATATTTTCTTCAAAAATCAAAAGTTTTTGTGTCATTCTAAGAAAATAATTAAAATGAATAACTATTCTTCAGTTAAAGAAGCACATACTTGAACCTATCAATATACTTGAGAAGTAATAAAGTATAAATACACTTAATTTAATAACAAGGTGAGTTAAGATAAAAAGAAAATGAATAATGAGCAAGAGTAATTTGGCTGATAATTTTACTGTTACAACTGTGGCGTAGAGAAATAAATAAAGTTGGACTTCTATGATCAAATTGAGTCTATTTATTATTACTAATGAAGTGAAATCCTAACCTATAAGTAGTTGTGAAAATTATTTTAAAACCTTTGGAATGTCTGGTATGTTCTTAAAAAAATCACGTTATATATATATATATATATTAGATAATTTATTTTTTAAATTTAATACTAAAATTGTGATGTAAAAAAAACAACAACACATGTTTCGGTTTCAACAACTAAGGACTGGACAACTTCAATCCTGCGAAATAATTTGTTATTACATGAATAACAGAATCTTAAAATATAAAATTTTCAATAAAAACTTTGATATTATGTTTTTTTTTATTGTATTTTAACGAATGAGAATCACCCGAGACCACCTTAAGGATGAGAAAGTTGATGGCTAAGAGAATTTCTGTAGAATTCCAATTAAAGAGATGCAGATGGGAGCTAACTGAATTTAAAATAAAATCACTCTAAAAATTAAAATTTATGTGTACAACAATAGTACGATAATTCATTTTTATATTTCATAGGGATAAATGCAAGTGTCAATACATTCCTTGAAAAAAGACAGGTTTTGATAAGAAACTTATTTTTACAACAATCGGTTCAGTTTTGTAGAACAAAATTACACCATGAGATTCATTATTAGTTTTTAAAATAGGAATCGATGCAAATCCATTTCGGTTTCTAAAAAAAATCGATTAAGGTTCGCTTTGGAAACATTGATTAACAATAGCTATATTTACATCACATTTACTCATTGTAAGTTAAAGGATTACTTTAGCTGTTCATTCTTTGTGGGATTTTGATGTATTTTTTACATTTAATTAGAGAACAATGAATGTTTCACAACAGACCACATTCCTCCCTCAATATTATAAATAAAAAATCTTTTTAACAAGAAAATTTTGATCTCCTCTATATCATAAGTTTCTACTTTAATGCTATTTCCAATTATAAAAAAAACAATGAAATTCAAATCGGTTTTGGGAAACATAAATCAAAATTATTCGGAATTTTTAAAAATCCGGAGTAATAATATTTTGTTTTCCCCTTAAACATAAAATTTAAAATAAATCTCAATAGAGAGCGCCTAAGTAGTTGTCTGTTTTTATAAAGAAACTGTAAATAAGTTATTGAATTATTATTATATTATAAGTAATATAAATAATTTTCAGGA